ATCAAACTTTGACACGGTACCTCTCTTCAAGTGTCATATCTTTTCCAGCTTTTTTATTTTATTTTGATGAGTTGTGCAGTGATGTCTGCAATTCCTCCCAAATTTCCCTTTTTCCCCTTTACTCTATAAAGCACTGTGAACAGATTTACTATAACAAATTCTCTGTTTACATAAATCTGCCTCAGAATCTCAGCTACACAGCAGCTAAATGCAGAGTTCTGAACCGGATTTGCACTATTTTTCTGCACAACAAGTGTTAGTGTTGTTCTTTTTACATCTGTTTATATCAGAAAATGAATATTTTACCAACTCCAAACTTTCATTTTCAATTCAGACTGACCAAGAACACCTCTTTGTTGTTTGTTGTTTTTCAAAACAATTTTTTCACATGTAATTCTATTTTAATGTATTAACAAGACTGGATTTGCACATTTTTTGTTTGCATGAATCTGCATAGATGATCAGTATTTTTGTATTTTGTCCAATGTCAAATATTCATTTCATATGTTTCAATATTTGATGAAAAAAACTTGAACTTCCAATATGTGAAAAGCTATTTTTTATATTTATATCAAAGAAATGCACTTTGTTTTGTATTTTGTCTTTGCCTTTGTATTTAATTCATGCAAATAAAATAAAAAAAAACATGTGCAATAATATTTTTAAACTTGAATTATGGCTTCTGGTGTTTATTTTCGTGTCTGACTTCCGGCAACAACACAACAAACACATTTCCGCTGACGTCATCGCTCTTCTTCGGATGACCGGAAGCAGGAAACTGAGGTTCTGCTGCCCTCTGCTGGTCAGAGGAAGCAGCACAGGACCGGTGACCTGGGAATTGTGCCCAGCTAATGATTAAATAGCATTAGCAAAACGGTTAACATTCAAACAGTTTGCATTCAGTGGTTTATCCCATAATGTAAGTCTCATTTATAGAAAATATAAATTCTAAGTTTAAGATATATTTAAGTTCTTATTTGTTTGTATATTAGTGAATTTTGAGTTAGACATATTTTGCCAATAAGCTAGGCTTCCGTAGTGTTGACAGGAAGTTCCTGTTGCTATGGAAACGCGAGTAAAAATAAAGTAGCACGGCAGAGCTGTACGGTTGTTTTACCGTCATAACGCGTTAGAACAAGTATCCTGTTCCTTATTTCAAAATGCAAGAACGAACAAAGGTAAAACGGAAAATTATTTCCATAACAAACATAACATGTAGCGAACGCAGTTACATAAGCATTTTTTCTGTGTGAATTTATTTTATTTTGTGAATATGAATATGTTTTACTTTTAATATCCATTTCATATTTTGTGTATTTTTTTTAATAATATGTACATACTTTGGGGAAATATTGTAATAATGTCAGATGGAGACGTCACCGATTTGGTCATCACTTGATCACGTGATTCCTTTTGATAGAAAATTCTGAGTTTTGTTTAAACTCAGTCGGCGTGTGCAAGAGTAAAGGCAAAGGTCTGAAATATAGAAGAAATGGACTTGTAAGGACTTCTAGCAACTCCTAACCTTCTGGTTGGAGGGGCATACGGTATGGACAATTGAGAGAATTTATATTTTGTTTAATAAGTTTCAGTTGATAATTCATATAAGGGAACATGACAGTTTCACTGATGAATATTTTCCACGGTTTATTTTGCAGTGTTCACGGTGGTCTTGGGCGTTTGTATGACGGAAAATCCTCTAATCAAACGTTTGGAGCCGCCAGTTGGATAATTGAACTTGCATCAACCAGTTAGAAAAAGTTGGGAGCAGCTATATAACATGTAAATGCTGTGCATTTTTGTGTAGTCTTCTGCCCCCTGTTATCAGGTGTATCTGATTGTGTACAATAGGATTTTTAGCAAAGTTTGTACCAATA